TCACGGGATCTTCTGACAATTCTGTCTCGTCCTTTGTCCTGCCCGCAGATTTATTGGATTTCGACAGCGGCACTCGCCAATTGGAACCCCAGGCGAAAATCAAGTTACCTGAACCAACTCAAGTCATAGCACCTGCTCCGTTCTTCTCCCTGTCTGAAGCGGCTTCGCAAACATTCCTTGTTGGGTGTCGAGATCATCCTCTGCATATTTATCATGCCTTTCCGGACGATCCTCGCTCTGCCCCCATCGGTCATTACAAGTTAATCCGGCACGAAACAGAGCAGTACATTGTACCAGCCTCACTGGTATGGCCGTATCCCGGCACTCACTTCATATGCGGTTCTGCCAACCGTCTGGACTATTTTGACGTATCGCGTCATGGATCGGATGGACCTGTGTTAACAGTACCTACCATCCCCTCCAAGAGGCATATCTCCAAGGGACACGGGGTGGGTATGAAAGGAACCGTTTCCGCTCTGGGTGTCTCACCCCCGGATGTTAATGGGCATCCTCTTGTTGCTGCCGGTACATGGACACGCTGGATGGGATTGTACGATCTCCATCGCTCGGACGGCGCAGTTGCTAACTGGCGAATATCGGAATCCGATTTGCCAGGTTCGTCAGACTCCTATGCCGGACAGGGAGTCGTACAAGTGCTATGGAGTCCCTGCGGTCGCTACCTCATCATCAACGAACGACATGCGGATGGCTTATTGGTCTACGATATTCGAGGTTCGGGAAGGTTGCTCAGCATCTTGGCTGGCCGAAAGAATTTGTCGCAGCAGAGACTGAACTGTGACGTCTTTCCAGGCAGCCAATACGGGAACGGAGGTTTTGAGGTGTGGGCTGGCTCTCAAGATGGCTCTGTAATTGTTTGGGACCAAGTCGGACTGACTGCAGCAGAAATGCAGCCGTCATGGAGTTGGAATCCTCATAATTCTCCGGTCTGTGCCTCAATCTTGCACAAAAGCGGATCAGTTGTCGCCACGTGTTCTGGAGGTTGGGAGCATTCCGATGTTAATGATGAATATGATGCTGTTGATGCGTACGCTGCGCAGGGACGGAGCTGCAAAATTTTGGAGGAGTCAAGTCTTAAAATTTGGTCGCTCGGTGGCGGTGTGGTAGGGTGACATGACACGACGTGAAATCTTCACGGGTATTCTGGTAAAGGATATTTCTCAATAAGGGGCAAGACAATCGCAGCTCATGGATGTTCGAAACTATCGATTTGGTGCTTACGGATTAGCAAGGCACGGTGTAGAGGATGTTGAACATACGACCCCAGTCGAAACTACCAACACAATACTCTTATTAAAAGGTACTCTGGGTGCAGGCTCATGAAGACGGAGGCAATATAAACTGCACTTGAGTTCTATCAAAGAACACATAATAGTGAGGTTTAACACCTGTGCCTAATCAGCTCATCGTCACAACGGCTTGGTGCACTACAACCAGCGACATAGCTCCGATTCACTTCAGTTATCTTGTTTGTGATCATCAAGTCATTGACATAGTTGGTGCAACTGATCTCCTCCACTCCACAAGCAAGAGAGTTATAACGGCTGGGGAAACTTTTGGGCCCCTCGACGATGATACCCTGCTCGCGCACCGGAATTTGTCTTCCAATATATCGGACTGATCCGTGACCTCGTGCATCTTCTGGCCAGCGCTATTACGATCGTGCCTACCACGACTATTGACGAGTGCCCAGAGCTGGATTGCCTCTTGCTAGGTGGGCCAAATCCTGCATATTTTGGATTGCACCCGCAATGCGACGGCTTCATCCGTCGCCATGTAGCTGCAGGTAAGCTGTTTTTCTCATCTGCACTGGAACGGCAGACCTTGCTTCCACGGGCGTCCTGGATGGCAACTATCAATGCCGTCGAATACAATACCGTAGGACTATGCGAGGGAGTATATTCAACTGAGTTTGCTGGGGGGTTGCAATATTAACGACTTGATAGAATGTACAAAGGCCCTGCCCAAGTTTACGGATCGCACTACTAAGTTGCTAACTTGAAAAGAAAGCAAACAGCGTGGCTTTATCTAAATCACCAGATCCCGCGGCCGGGTCTCGCCCAAGCGCAGCCACTTACACCACTAACCCAAAATTGCAACATGATCAGGCACGAGAATACATGCTGATTCGCGCCGTCCTCCTTACGGACAGGTAGCCGGAGACATTTCTCTTCGTCCTCTTGAGACAAACGCATGCGCAAGATCTTGATTTCGATACCAGCTCAACTGATGGCCCAAATCACAATATAGGCCTAGCAAAGTCGTGTAAGTCGTGTAAGCAGCTTGCCGCAATCAAAGGTGCGCCAACTCACTTGACAACCCAAATAGATGTATTATTCCAGCAGAACTACTGGTTCAGCATCCTTCAGCTACCTTTGCCTACTTATGCATTAAGCTCTCGGCATGTCCCGCCGTTGGGACACCGGCGCAAGTAGTTACGCCGGCATGTCATATAAGCTTCGACGCCGCATACACATCCAAAACACAAGGCCTACGTTTACTGTTTCTCTGTCGTTCTCTCTCTTTACTCTTTATTCTTCGTTTTCTATTCTTTTAATATTCCACCCCTTATCACCTACTGGGCAACAAAATCGCCTCAAAATGCACCTCATCCGGGTCGTGCTCGCTGTGATGGCCCTCGCCGTGCCAACGTGGACTACACCACCGCCGGCTGCATTCGGCCACAACGGCACCGACTTCCTCCTCCGCGGCAAGCCCTTTGTCATTATCGGCGGACAAATGGATCCGCAGAGAGTACCATTCGACTACTGGCGGCGAAGAATCATCCTCGCCAAGGCACTGGGCATCAACACCATCTTCAGCTCCATCTTTTGGAACGAGATGGAGCCGGAGAAGGGCAAATGGGCCAGCAAGCAGCCCGCCAACAACCTCACCAACTTCTTACATATTGCCAAGGAACAAGGCCTGTATGTGGTCCTCCAGCCGGGACCATACGTCGGCGGTGCTCGGGAATGGGGCGGCCTGCCATACTGGCTCTCGCGGATTCCCGGCCTCAAAGTACGAAGCTACAACGCGCCATTCCTCAACGCTACCAAGAGCTACTTCACCCGGCTGGCCAAGGACCTGGCCCCTTGGCAAATCACAAAGGGAGGCAACGTCATCATGGTCCAAATCGAGAACGAGTACGGCTCCTACGGCGCCGACGTGCGGTATAAAGAAGCCCTGCGCAACATGGCCGCCTCCCTCTTCGACGTGCCCCTGTACACCGCCGACGGCAGAGACAAGCTCTTGCTCGAAAACGGCCAGACCTCGCGTGTGCTCTCCGTCGTAAAAGGCGGGCCCCAAGGGTTCCCTCTACGAGACGAAGCCGTCACCGACAAGTCGTCGCTGGGCCCCCATCTCGACGGCGAAGCACACATCTCGAAACCACTCCAATGGGGCCCCGAGGCAAAACACCACGCCATGGACACCGACCAACCCAGTCTCGTCGAGAGCTACATCCGCAACCTGCGCATGACCCTGTCGGCCAACAACTCGCTCAACCTGTACATGTTCCACGGCGGCACAAACTTCGGCCTCAGCGCCGGCTCCCTATACACGGGGAACAGGACGATCCCCTGGGCAAACAGCTACCACGACGAGTCCCTGCTCGACGAGGCTGGCCGCACCACGCCTCTCTACCACATCCTCCGCGCCGAGATTCTCAAATACGTCCCGGACGAGAGCGCCCTCCCCCCGCCCCCGAATAACCTGCCGCTCATGCAAATCGACGAGGTCAAGCTGGAGCCCTACGCATCCATCCTCCACACCGTCACCTACACCAAAACCCGCAAGATGCCAGTGTACATGGACACGCTCAAGCAGGGACAAGGCCTCATTCTATACGAGCACAAGGTGCTCGCCGCCGCAAACGGCACGCTCGAGGCCGGCGACCGCCCCCGCGACAGAATCATTGTCTACGTCAACCGCCAGCGCAAGGGCATCATCGACAGCTTCCACGAGTGCCCTGCCACCGTGAAGCTCTCCCTGCAGGCAGGCGACATCCTGCGGCTGCTGGTCGAAAACGCCGGGCGCACCAGCCACTGGCGCAGAGGATCCCGCGAGCCCAACCTCATGGACGATCCGTTCAAGGGCATCAACGGGTCCGTGACGGTGGGCTCGTCCGTCCTCCGCGGCTGGAAGATTCGACAGATCCCGTGCAAGGAGCCGCCGATCCTCAAGAAGCCCATCGGGGGGTCGATCCAAAAGGGAATTCTGCCCGTGTACTACAAGGGCAAATTCAAGGTTCCGCATCTGGGACCCGACGATTTCTACTCCGGAATGGACACGTACTTGACCATTGAGGGGGGCACCAGGGGTATCGTCTGGGTCAACGGCTTCAATTTGGGTCGGTACTGGGTCTCCGGGCCGCAGCAGTCGTTGTATGTGCCGGGTGTTCTGTTGAAACCGGGCTTCGCCAACAAGATTCATGTTTTGGAGCTCACACCTTGGAATATGACTTTGACCGCAAGAGGGGAGACCACGAAGAGGTGGGAGAACCGTCCCGACCCGGAGGCGCCACAATCATGATGTGATGATGATTGCTTTATAGAGTGGTGACCTCAAATGCACGACTCAGAATAGGACGACGTCAGGTGAGGGGGAGAATGGACATGAAATAAGATCGTGTATTTGCTGCTGTAGGCCCTCAGAGAAACATCGTGCTTAAAAATATACAATTAACAGCCTCAAATCCCAAGGGGGCCTCAACAAAAAAGCTTCTGTTCTGTCTGTATACCGACTGACTCGACGAAACCAAATTTCCAACACTAACCTTTGGAATGATTAATTACTCTGATATAATGTCCTCGTTGGTGATGACCTTTTGAAAACCATGTTGTGGAACGCCATGTCCAGTGCTCTTTCATCCACGATAACGCCTCTGCTCCACGCCAATAGCAAGTTTTATTTTAACCCAAGCAAAAGAACCCAAAAGCAAGTTCGTTAAAAAGGGGAGGGGGGGAAGGGGTGCTCCCTTTGGATTACATCCACGCTAGGTTTCTGCTGCGTCTCCGGTTCTGTTGCCAGAGCACGCCACCACCACCGCCTCTGCGAGGCCCGGGGTATGTTGCCATGTGATTTCGATTTGCTTCGACATCGCTGTCAGATTCTATAGCCTCCAACGCCGAGTTGAATCCGTGAGAAAAGTCGTCGAGCTCCCTCGTCAACGGGACACGGTCAGAATCATAGTTGGTGTGCCCACTTCTCGTAGCCACCGCGTCTATAGTATCGTGGCTGTATGGTTGCACTCGAGGACTACCCGAACGGCCACTCACAGCACTAACACTATCTGAAGTGCTTGCGGCCAGAGTGCTGATACCGGGGGTCCTATTGCCGGGTGTGCTATTCCCAGGGGTGCTGTTCCCATAACCGGCGTGGAATCTAGCCTCGGAAGCGTCATGCGAGGATGGGAGTGGCTCAAACTCGCGATGTGCTGCTGGTGCCATTGACCTACCATGCGTGTCAGTTATTGCCGTGCTGCGATGACCTTGCCAATGAGCAATGAAACTTACCGGATGTATCTGTTATCCTTCTCATTTCCGGGACCACGACGGACGTTGCTCGACTTTCGTCTCCACAGAAGGAAAGCTAAAGTGGCGATGGCAAAGACGGCGGCAACACCGCCAACAGCGCCTCCAATGATGGCTCCGGTATTCGTCGAGCTACTTCCGTTGCTGCTTGGTGCAGCACCGCCGTGAGTTTCAGACGGCTCTGGGGGTTTGCCACTAGCCACGGGCGACTCCAAAACCGTGCTAGAGTCCGACGTCCTAGATGGCTCCGAGCTCAGCGTAGCAGGGCTTGACAGAGGCGTAACCGTCGCAGTCAATTTAACGGAGATGGTGGTAAGGTCCAACGGTAACCTCCCCGATGCAGTCAGAACGACGGTTGTCGCCAGTGGAGAAGCCGAACCGCACCCATACTGGAAATATCCTCCCTCAAACATGTTCTTGTAACATACATTCTTGCCGCGACATGTGTATATGTAGGGATCGGCCACGGTCTGCGGCCCACTGTTCCGGTCGACGCATCCCGTGAAGATTCCAGCGTTACATGGTCCTTTATCGGGACAGCAGCCTATAACTCCATTCTCGACATCGGCGGCGCAGTGAGAGCCTGCTAAACATGTAGCTGGCAGATTGGGATCACCTCCTATGTAACCACAAATAGTATTAGACTCCCTGCGCAAAAGCTCCAGGGGTGATGCGGGAGCTAGTGTAGCCAAAGGCCAAGGCCTGACGTTGAATGCGCGCGCCTCGATGGTTTTGGTCTCTTGCGGCAGCACGTTGCCGGCCACCAAGCTGCACAAGGTGGAAAATACGAACAATGCAGTCGAGGGCGGCGGCAGCTGCGTAAAGAAGTGATTTGAAATCATTTTGCTTTGTCGATGTTTTCTTTCTTGCGTTGCGAGCCGTTGAGCCCTGCGGTGGCGATGCGGTGTGATGCGATGCGGACAGGGTCGGCGCAATGAGCTAGTGGAATAATATCCAAGAAGGGGATTCGTGATCCAGCAAAGCGCTCATTGCCGACGCAAGGCTGCGATGTGGGATGAATGATGACGGAGAGATTAAAAAAGCAGCCCAAAAAAAAAGACAAACAGGAAACAATGGGCTGGGGGCGTGCACAAGGTAATAAAGACCGGGATGGAGAAAAGACGACGAGTTTCCAAAACGCCAGGCCGGCCCAACCAAGATGTCGACTGGTACGGAGTGCATGTTACAATAGGCTGGTACTCGGCACGTATCATCCATATCGCTTGGCAAGAGCCACTGGCATGCCAACCACATGCAGCAGCACGACCCGACAGCACATACGGAGTACGTAGTACTTAAGTACATTGCACCAGAGTGCAGGGTAATAATGGCTGCACATGTCAACGGTGCAAGAATTCTTCTTTCCTTGAATGCATGCTTTTTCCTGCGTTGCCTGGGGCGCCATCAGCCTCAGTGCCATGTTCCACTCGGCACCGACTGCCCAGCAGTGCCTGCACTGGTACTTGAGGTACGTACTGTTCCCCCAGGGCACGCTTCTTTGTCCCTGCCTCGGGTCGACGTGCTTTCCGTTGGTTTCCCAGGATGGTGTGTGGCACGGCGTTGTCGCCAGGTGCTGGCTGTGTTGGTGGACGAGGGGGATACGAGACCCTGACCGCCCACCGCTCTCGCCAAGTCGACCAGTAATAAATACATGATGGCTGGGCTCTGGCTACGCACTCTGGCTTATGTACGTCTGGTGATGCTGGAGCATGTCCATGTCCATTGCTGGGCAGCCTGCGCTCGAATATTGCATGCTGGTTCCATACTCCGTACTCTGATGCAGCCTGGCGGTTGGCGGCACGTTTACCTCTTCCAAGTTAGTCCTGTTGTCTGAGCTCACCGGCCATCCATTGCTCCCCATTGCTCCCTTTGTCCCCAGTCATTGAAAGTCGGTCTGTGCATGGGGCCAAAAATATCACAATACTATCATCACGGACCCAACAGGGAAACAAGGAATGCGAAATGTGGAATGTCACGCTATAGACGAAAAATTAATAAAAAAGAAAAAGTAAAATCCAAGAAAATAGCAGGCCAGTACAGGGGCTGCATCCTCGACAGAATTCACCAAAGTCTACTAAGAAAGCTACCTAGGTATTTTATTAGTTACTCCATACAATCAATACCCCGTACTCGGCACAGCGATTTCGTCTCGAGCTCGGGGTGAAAACCTGCTTCACCGGCCTCATCCTCATCCACCATGTCCATTTCCTTCCCCCGCTCTCCCTGTGGTTCCTGTGACAACCACAGCGTCGGCTTTGCTGTCCAGTTCCTGCCGAATCCAGCCACGGCTGCAGACGCTGCGGTCAACTGGTCCAATCGATACCCCCAAGATGGCGCGGGCCTTGCATTGCAGACGTGGCCGGCCGTAATGCTGGCGTGCGGCTGTATTCTGCAACGGTACCGTTGACGCGGTGTTCTAAAGTTGTTCGGATTCCATTCTGCCGATATGCCACTGCATGCAACAATGCTAATACCCCATGTGTGCGTGTCGACGAGTTGGCAGGGACTCGGACATGAGCATCGCCACCAAGACCATCAAAACAAGCTTTTTGTGGCGCAGTCCAGATGTCAACCAGGTGCCGATGTCCACCACTGCCGGCACTCTACTCCGTATCCGTAGGGCTAAAAGACTAAATTAGAATTTGGCTGGCATTGTGGCTATGCGCAGCCACAGCACGTCTTATGCGGGGACATTTATCCGATCACCAACTTCATCCAGCACACAGTTCAGGTTCAGTTCAGTGGTCATCTCGTCACTGCGCCATGATGCAAGCCATCTTTGGCAATGCCACCCGATTCAAACCCAGGCTATCGTATACAAACCAGATATGCCATCCTCACCCGTTATGCGCTCTCGACCAGTTGGACTCGCTGCCGCTCTTGTATCGGCCATTCGCTCTCGCTGTTTGCTCTCCGAGTATCCTCGAGTGCGATATTCTCAGTATTCATGTACTTGCCCGCAGACTGCCCCTTCTTTGCAACCTTCCTTTGTCGCTTCTCTTCCATCTTCTGCCGCCTAATCACCTTCTTCTCCGCCCGCGTTAATCGAGGGAAATCCCCATCTGGCCCCCGCAGCACATATCCCGGATGCATGACATTAAGCGCTACAAGTGCAACCAGCATCGGGAACGCATCCAGCAAGAAGGGCCATGTTTCCTTGCCCAACATTGGATTGTAGTGATTGAGGCCCGGACCAAACTCGACCAGTCGGAAAACGATGCGCGTCTGCGACCGCTTTTCCGTCAGCACACTCATTTCCCAGCACCAAAATTACAAGCTATACTCACCACAATCATACCCAGCACGAGAAGCATTGTCCAGATCAGCCAGCCCATTCTCCCTACTCGGCAGCCCGTAACCCGCCGCATCTCCCAGTAAAAGGACACCGTCATGCCCGTGAATACAACGACAAACCCGAGCTGCAGTCCAATGCCCGCCGTGTACACCCTCATGCCGACATTCTTCACCCCGGCGGCGGAATCGCCAGAAAGCACGCTCCCGCCTACACCCTGAACTATAAAGCAGACAACGTCCAGCCATACGAATATCACTGTGAGCCTGGTAGCTCTGATGCCCCAGATCTTCTTCCCAGGCAGGCCCAAGTATACCCCCCTCGCAACCGTCATGTAGGCGAAGGCGTTGATCCCTCAAAACAGTTTATACGTCAGCGCGCCATGGTTTTTCAGCTTCCCCTTCCACAAAGTAAAATCACAAGGGGACACACGAACAACAAGGACCACGTACACAGCGGCGCCAAGAGAAGAAGCAGCTGGCCCCAAATCACAAACTGCACTTGTTGCAGGTCGTGCGCGCCTGCGGTCCGGATACCAAAGGCGGCTGTTTCGCAGGCCCCTCCCATCAAGAGAACCCACGCAAATGTCTGTCCCGACATGGTGTTAGTACGCTTGTGCGTCACATCTAGGGTATTTATTGCCAACGTGGAATCGAACCTTTTTGAGGACAATTGCCTGAACCAGGTGGACCGCAGTCGAGAGGCCGAACAGAACGGCAAAGGCCATGTTCCCGCCAAAGCTCGGGTCGTATTCGTAGTTTGAGCCGCAAGACCCGGGAGGCACATGGCTGTATTTTCCTGCCGCGGCGGCGGTACATGTTGTCGTTGAGCTGGCCGAGGATGAGGCGGTGCTTGGCCCTGGTCCCAAGGACGGCGCTGTCACCGTCGCCATCCTTGTCCTGGATACAATAATGCTGAGTCTTGGGAATCCTGTAGGTTGCTTATGCAGATTATCGGGCTGGCGTTGTATTCCTGCGCATACGGAAAACATTCCTTTGTTGACTTTGGCAGTATATAGACGTCTGGTATATTTCCTAGCTTAGACTCCTTTATAAAAGTTTGTAGACGAAAATACACGTGGGCGAGTCTCAGCTGCGTCACGAGAGGCTTGGTGGAAGCTGGGGAACATCCACAGAGCATAATCGCCTCGACTATCAAGGCTATTATACAGCCTGTGACAGGATATATTTATCTACTGACAAGTATACACCAATATGGTACAGTATACTATAGTATAGAATGCAATAGCCAGACACCTGATCTGGTTCAGTATCATTGGCCCTATACTGTAGGACGCGTCACCGGAATACATCTCCTGCCAACCCTTGGCCAGCGTCAGACAACCGTCCGTCATCACGGAGTCCAGCCGAATCAATGGCGCTAATCGGTGTGGCGCCGCATTCGTAGCTTCGTTATATATAGAGGATTCGTTACGGGATGATTGATAGTTGGAAATTTCCCAACTGACACTGCGCATCGATGGTGGTGGGTTTAGGCTACGAGAGCTGGAAATAACCAAGCACTTACAGGAGAGGCCATAGCGATTCGCATCGAGAACCAAGGAATATGTAATTGGCAAGTGACAAGGTGCTCAACAAGATACAGTGGATTGACTTTCTTACAGACATTCTACACTTCTTCCATGCCCACAGCCAAAAGAGTCCTATCATGGCTGGCCTCATGATGATGTAGGCCGTGACGCGTCGTACTGTCGCAAGGCGTACGCCTGCCAACCACACAGCCTCTGTGCCACAGTCCTCTAGTTCCAGCCAGGACCATCACAAGCTCACGTACCCGCATGCGGAGTGTCGTCACCAGCAGATTTGGTCTGCATGGCGATAACTAGGGATGTAAGCTGGTCAATCTTCTGGTGCAGTTCGGCAACCTGGCCCTCCACACCCTTGGGCTCTTCCATGTCATCCCCGTCCCCGTCCCTTCTTTTCCCGTCAGCTTTTAGAAGAGTTGACTCTTGCGACAGCGAAACGTGTTGTCTAATATAACCAGATGACGATCTCTTGTGCACCGTAGACCGACTACTCTTCTTTGACTCACGCGGTCCCCTGAAGCCGGCGTACTCGTCATTATCCTGCGAGTTTCGTCGGATGTACTCGTACAGCCTGATTGCTCCAACAATGGGCAAATGTGTGGCGCGGAGAAGGACGATTCGTCCTGCACGGAATTTGCCGACTCTAGGTAGGATGAATCGTAAGGGCCGAAAGATGACAAGGGCAATCAGGTTGAATGGCGGATAGAAATGAGTAAGCCGATTACTCGTTGATGCCTCCAGCACATAAACACTGTACACATAGAGATACTCTTCTCTTGCCTGCGTGATAACACGAGAAAAACTGTTTGAAAGCATACCGGTAAGGGACCCCTGCAGGAGAATAGACGTCAAAGTAATAAAAATAATCATGAGAGGCGGCCCAAAAATAGGGTCAATCTGATCCATGATGTCGAATCCAACGTAGCTTGATCCGAAGAAGATTTTTGTCAAAATGCCCGTCATTCGACCAAAGCTGAAGGTATCACGACCAACAAGGGAAAAGG